TTCATTCATTCCATCTTTATGGACATAGAAAGAAACCCCATTATAAAATTCCTAAATATTGTGATCATTATTTAATAGTCTAAATGAGACATAAAACATTAAGATTTCTTTAAGGACGATAAATTTAATACTTTTTCCTACCCATAAAATGTTCCCTTTCTGGACGGAAATCCCTAACTGAACATATTTTAACTGAAGTCAAGAGACATATCAAGATAGGTATACCTCGTGGTGGATCTTAGGGTAAAATCCGAGGCACAACCAAATAGTTGCACGAAAATGTTGCTGCACAATTAAATAATTTGTAATTTGTTAGCTAGCCTGGCAATTTCGGGACAGATTTATAGCCAAAGGCATGCTCCGTCGCTGAACAGCACAGCGAGCACCAGGGTGGTGAACGGGGGGAGGAAGGTGGTGGGGCAGCTATATTGTACAGAACGCACACATGACGATGCCTCAGCTTCAGTCTCCACAGTCCCGCCGCCATGACGTGACTCACTCGGCAATAATCTCACTTTTATTTTGATTTCGTCTAAATGGCGCATACATATGGGCACACACCAAACGTATATATATATAGATCACATACACTAAGACGCATAAGAATATATATATAGAGATCTGCACAGATATGTATGTGGGGATATATAAGAGTCCGAAGGAGAACGTGAGGTAGCAGAGCCAAATCGTTCGGCTCTTCTTTGACACAGCCAGACCGCGGTCCCAGAGGCAATCTTACCACTCAATGCCTGCCCCCCCCCCCCCCTCCCACACACCACTAAATACGATGTATACTATTTAATATAGCAAAGATATGTATAGAGTACACTTTGCAATGTGTAAATAGTAAATGCATCAACAGCCAAGTGGCCGAGGATACTTTTGAGATACTTTTTTTTTGTTCTTTGTGTACCGTAGAGTTCACTTCGCTCACTGACTGGCTAGCTGGCTAGCTGGCTGGCTGCTGCGTCAGTGCTACGAGCTATAGGAAAATGATTTCCATTATATTATCCCATACCAACCCTCTCTCTCTCTCTTTTCTCTCTCCCTGTCGCTCCCGCTCTTTGGGGCGATCTGTTTGAGATTTCCCAATTGCAGATGCCAACTGCATTAATCATCGAATTTGATCAATGCTCGGGGCCTGGCATCGGAATGAATTTGAATGAATCTTCATCAGGTTTTGGTTCGTCATGGAAAATGCTTCGAGCTTCTACGCGGTGTGCTGTGGGAGGATCCCCCACATCTGCTCACAGAATTTTTCATAGAAATATTAAACCTTTTTTGTAGGTTTTATGTGATCATCTATGCTGTACTTTTTTTAAATTTTACTTTCGATTTTTGATTATTGTCTAAATACTTTACATTCTTCGGTTCCTATTCGAAATAATTTATAATATTTGTTTGAAAATGTTATCTATGAAGAAAAGTTTATAATCCAAAGTTTAGTTTAGTTTTTGAACCCTTTTTGGATTCTTTGCTTGAGCTATTTTTTAATAGCTCTATAAATATTGCAACTATTTTATTTTCTTCGGTTAATTTTTGTTGGTACTATTGATTATTGATTATTATTAGTATTGGGTTGGAATTTCTGAATCCCTTTCTTCTTATAAGAATTAAATGAGAGAGAGAGAGAGCGACCACTGTCTGGATATGGAATCATATTAATCATATAATTTCATATTAAATAGATTTCACCCCTCCCTCAGATGAGTGATGCCATTTAGCGCGGCAATCTTTCTGCGGACAAAGCACATCCACTTAAGCCACCCCCAGCCGCCAATCATCGTGCGATTTTCCACCCCATGGGCTGGTGGGGGGGGGGGAATGGTGCCACAGTATACTCATTCTGGGAGCGTCATAGGCAGCAGCAGCAGTGATCCGTACCGTCTCTGTCCCTGTCTCTGCCCCATCTCGGCACGATCTTGCCACGTCTGCCGAAACGCGACGGCGTTCAGGCGCAGGCAGAAGATCCCCGGCGAGAGTTGTCTGTTTGCTTGGATGCCTCCGTCTCGGTCTCGGCATCGGTCTCTGTGTGCCTCAGTCTGCGTCCGAGCGCCGTGAGGTCTTGAGTGCTCTACGAGATGTTACAGAATTGTCGGGCGACGCACCGAAACGCGCGAAACTTCGTCAATTGCTGCCGGACTCTGGCCGGAATTGAGTTTGCGAATAACACACGCCCCAAACAGATTCATATCTGACCAAAAATCCCACAAAACCACCCAAAGAAAGAAAAAATCAAGTGAAATTTCCAACAGTTTTACTATTTGTTTGTGGTTTGTTTTCCCCAAAAAGCGATTCAGTGGAAAATCAACAAGCACATAGAGACCGACCGACTATCTGGCGGTGTGTGCGCTCTTGTGTCTGTGCGTGTTCGTCGGACAAAACACGTCATCGGAAAATAATAATAAAAAAAAATAAAAAATATATAGAAAAGCAGACATTGGGAGGGAAAGATCGATCGATCTTTCAGTTGAAAACAATGTGAAGGATTTCCTACGCGTGACACATACATCAGCGCAGCCGTCTGCTTTCGAGTGTGCTCTTTACATTATTTGTGAGAATGAAAATGATCTAGAACCAGGGTATAGACGTTGTTTAGTCAAGCCCTGAAGGGAATCGAAACGAACATTTGCCAACCACCACATCCATCCGAAATGTGCGACACGCGGGCTCTGATCAACACCAAACAGACCAACGATCTGCACAGTTGTTGGATCATATATAGTAGGTTATAGCCCCCATACGATTTTTGATTTAGAAATTTAATTACAAATTTTATGAGTAACAGTTTTGATATAGTCGCCAAAAAGGAGTTTCTCTTCAGGGATAATTTATTAAACAATATTATTTAATTTATACAAATTGATACAAAATTCTGGGCAACTTTAAGACCTTAAATGTTTATGTACAATTTGCCTCATTCCTGTTTGGAATTGAAACTGATTTAATGAACAATTATTTAGTCTTTATTGGCTTTAAATAAATGATGATTTTGAATTGAATTGCATTGAATTAATTATAAAACTGAAATTAAACATAAATATTAAAGCTATTAAATTATAATTTTTTGTTTAATCTGGAACCATTATCGTTGCATTGTTGACTGATTTTACATTTATTTGTTTAACAATTTTAAACACATTTTGTGTTGACTTCGATTTGCTGTATGAAACGTCAGTTTTTTTTTAAAGAAAGTCCTATGGGGATTTTAAATTATACCATTCGTATTTCTAGGATATGTTATCCCTATTTGCTTTTAAAGGAGTATAATTTTTGGGATACTAGTTGATAATTCTATAGAACGTTTTATTTGAATCGACGGAAGGGCCATTGCTTTTCTAGGACAGATCCTCTATGCATAAAGTAGGCATCTATTTTCCATGAAAATTCATCCGTTGTGCTTTGTGTTACACCAATTATACAGCCAAAAGCGATGGGCGTGAGCGACTCACGGTGACGGACACCAAGCCGGTGATCATGACCAGCACCGATCTGACCAACAACAACGATGCCCACAGCCATGGCCATACAAATGGATTGCTGAGCCATGCCCATGCACAGCAGGACCAGGATCTCGAGCAGGAGGATATCATTAATTCACAGGACGGGGACGTAGATACGGATGAGAATGACGGCACCGAGCAGTCGTTGGCAGAAATACTCGATCCCGAGCTGCAGCCTGAGCCCCCCATACCGAATAATGCCGAATCGCAGTCCATCTACCGTGAGCACCGCCACATGGCCAAGGAGTACCTGAGCGTGGACACGAACCTCTACTATGCGCAGGACTTTAAGGATAAGCTCATCCTCCAGATGGATCTCGCCGAGCGCGACCAGAAGCAGGAGCTGTTGCGCAAGATCAAGGACAAAGTAAAATATCCTTTAAATATTCATGTCGAGCTCTTTATTTATTTATGTTTTAAATTTCGCAGGAGGGACTCCAGAGTTTGTACAACAATCTGCAACAGCAGTGGGAGAAGCTGCCCGCCTCGCGACAACTGCAGGCCAGCCACCACCCGCACTTGCATCCACATCCCCATGCACTGACAACCGCCCCTGTCCAGGCATGGGGCCCCAACGGTGGCCAGGAGGTGACAGCAGCAGGTGGAAACATAAGCGGCGTAGATACAGTCGAGAACGATGGCTGGGTAGTCATACCGCCACATCCCAACGCGTAGTGCCAGTGCCAGTGCCAGTTGAAGCCGAAGCCGAAGCCCATTCAAATCGCATATGACTCTCTAAACGAAATAAATTAAAGCTGTAATATCTGTAAACAGTAATTTAATCTGTAACTCTAGCTATAGAACTATCTGTGTACGTGTGTGTGTGTGTATTATTTTTTTCTGCTACGTTTTGTGAATCGTTTTAAGCGTTTTTTGTTAATCTTAAGTCTTAAGGTGAGCCTTGAGCTTCATGTGTACGAACCGACAACTTTCACCCAAAGGCATTCTCTGAACACTTAAATATTGTTAGGCTTAAACTATTTTATTATATGCATTATATAAACATACACACCAGACACACATACACACACACACACCATCCACAGACATCTGTCCAAGGACAAAGATGCAAAGGAGTAGACCAAAAAACAAAATAAAATACATCAAACAACAAAAGACAAAAGAAAATAATAATGTTTATTGATCCCACGATCTTTTTGAATGATTTATTTGAAAGAAAAAAAGGCAGCGAAACGTTGGTCGGGCCTCGTCTGATTTAAAAACTCATTTAAATTATGAAACTTAAATCACTTTTGCGCCAGAGCATTTACAAACAGTCCATTTTTCGTTGGTTTACCTCAACTAAATTCAGCCACTAAATTAAATATGTTTAAGTGTTCTGAAAAATGAAAGTCGGGCAATGAAATAAAAATTGGTACTTAAATACCCAAAAGGGTTTTCTGTTCCGTAAATCATGACAGCTGGAATGTTTTAAAGATGATATTTATACGAGTACAAGGATAAGTATTCTATGTGATATGCACTATTTTGAGCCGGTGCTTGGCACATTTATTTGTCTGTACAGGCTGTCGTCGTTACCACAGATTGCAGTTTGCGCGTTCTTGCAGACATAATTGTATAACTATTCTAGTTTTAAGTACATGTTTTTTTATTTGTAAATATTAATGCTACTATTAATGTATGTTTTGAGAATCTTTAAATTCGTTTAGGTGTAAGGTTCTGTCAAGGATTGCCGTGAAAGAAAGCGCTGAGAGGTACGCTCATTGAGTGGGTAGTCTGTAGTCTTCTGTAGTAGAGTGTATAAAATAGGAGAACGAAACAGAAAGTACGAGTACATTTAGGAATCACAGATGGGTACATAGAGGGCGGCGCATGTTGACTCCCAGACATCGGAGGGCGTGTCCCACGAATCCTTTCGATGCCACCAACACTTTCTATCCACATTGTAGGCCATTGTCGCCGAGCTGGCCCGATCGATGGTCTCCGTGGAGTCGAGGCCGCCCACAAAGAAGATGGTGCTGCCCATCATCGTAATGCCGGAGTAGAATTTTGGCGCTGGTATGCTAGTCTCCACCTGCCAGGTATTTGTCTTGATGCTGTACGCATATATGTGCTGCACAAGCACACGCGTCTCGGCTTGGTTTTCGTGCCAGCCGCCGCAGGCATAGATGAGGTCATCGCAGGCCACCAGGACATGATCACAGCATTCGGTGGGCATTGATGCGAGCTCCAGCCAGGTATCGACCTTTGTGTCAAAGCACCAAAAGCTGGACAAAATGACGGCCATGTATATGCCACCTGGAACACACACACACACAAATAAATAAATAAACAAATGCCCATTATGCAACTTGTGCGTGCATATTCACCAGAGATGTACAGCTTATCGCCCACAACAACGCCGGCATGCTGGCTTCGATTCTCCTGAAGACAGGGCATATACGTCCACTTGTTTTCGGCCAGTGAGTAGCGTTCCACATTCGAGGCACGGCGCATGCCCTCCTCGGTGGTGTCATCGTTCTCCACAATGCCACCGACCGCATACAGATACTGATTGCCGACGGCATTCAGCGAGAAACGGCAACGGTCCAACTGTATGGGTGCTATGGTCACCCAGGAGTTTCGCAATGGGCAATAGCGGAAACCGAATGGATGGATATACTCCTTCAGGTACACATCATACGCACCGCCGACAATGAACAGCTCGTTGTTGAGCACGGCAGTGCCAAAGTTGCCTGCAAAGGTAGAGCACAGATATTTAGGTACGGATTCCAGACACATACAAAGGTAGGGACCGACTCACATTGGTCAATATGTGGTATGGTTGTAAGTTCATACCACTTCATTTTGGATAGGGAAAAGCACATAATCTCATTGGTAAGACCCTTCCACTCGAAGCCACCGATCTTGAGGAGACTCAGCTCCATGCCACGCAAATTGGTGGGCAAATCCCTCACCGTCTGATCCTCCAGAGCCAGCTCGCCCTTGAGGAAACGCGACAGATACAATTCGCGTATGCGATCAAAGTATTTGGCTGGCAGTGGACGCTGCACTTTGTCGTCAATCGAACAGTTCATGGCCTCCACCACGTGCAGTTGCGTGTAGTTGATGTGCGGCCAGTTGATGAGGCGCAACAGGTCAAAGGCAACCGAATTCTCCAGCCGCTGGTCCAAGCAGTATGCGCACAACAAACGCGCCAGCTCCTGCTCACTGACATCAATCGGATAGTTGCTGCTCAGTATAAAGCGCATCTGATCCACGCTCATCTCCTTGAAGTCCGGCCCCGCCGAAAACTCCTTAAAGTGGCAGCACATGTAGCGAAAGGCACGCGCCGATAGCCCCACCTGGCCATAGATCTCCGCCATGGTAGCCACAGCCAAACAATTGTCCAGCCCAATGCGGAGCTGCAGGAAAAACGTGCAGCGATCAATCACATCTCGCACCTGGACAATGCTGGCGGCAGCCAGTGTCTCCTCGATATTGTCTATGTTGAGCTCTAGGCGAGAGGTGTATATGTAGTCTAGGATGGAGCCCAGGGCTCGCCCTGTGATGCCGTGCAGGGCAATCTTCTTCTTGCGCGTCTCGATCATGGCACTGTCGGCGAACATGGCGCAAAAGTAATCGCTACTGGCAGCCAGTACCACGCGATGGGCCTGCAATGGAAGATGGTCTTGAGCATTGCAACTTTGTTGGGTATCACAGAGAGAGCGATAGAGAGAGGGCAGAGGGCAGACCACGCACCTGGTAGCTTATTCCATCTGCAATGAGTGTGACATCTGTGAGCTTCTCTTCGAGACGCAGCTTGTTCAGCCCGCTCAGTAGACTGTCCTCCTCGACGCTGGTTTGTGTCTGGGCCGATGACATGGTGTACCCAGAACAGAACCTTAATCAATGTGGGTCCCCGTCACTCCCAAGGTTGGGGAAGCCCGTGCGACACCCAGCTGCTGCTACTGCTGCTGATTCTGCCGGTTCTGGCGATAAGAATGCGAATGCCTTGCTATAATTAAAAGTTTGTTATTGATAGCAGAAGCGCGACGGAGTCGTTCGCCAAAGGCCCTGGGGCGTCGCTGGAAGGGGGGTGAGAGAGAGTGCTGTTGCACAGTGTAACTGCTTTTTGGTTTTATATCCCTTCCTTTTTCGGTTTCTTTGAGCACAGAATTGGTATCTTATTAATTATTATGTGTGCCTCAATTGATTTTCCTTGGAATCTTCTGGCCAAACCATTGAAGTCTTTTCTTTTTCCCCCTTTCCCCGACGTTTCTTGGTTGTTAAGAATATATTGTTAATTAGTCAATATATCGATATATGTATATAATCATTTTTAAATTTTTTGTTTATAATTTTGAAATAATATTATAACGATGGCAAAATTGTGTGAAATGTGTAAACTTCCTTAGAAAAACAGTAAACAGTATAAAACATTTCACCGATATAACATAAATCAGAAATTAGTAAGCTATCTTAACCCACTTAAGCCCCCTCTGTTTAAACTGGTGAACAAATTGATATGGTCCTCGGAATTTAGCTAAAACCTACCACTTATCATTTCCGCATAAATCCATCTCTACTCACAAATTGACCACCATATCTCTCACCTCAACTGTTTAACAACTCTACAAGTTTAAATACTTTAAATTCTTCTATATTAAATACTACCTACTAGCTAACTAAGACTCTCTAAAAATGGAGTTTTATCCGATTGATGAATCAATTCACCAGAAGATTGGCGACTTTAAAGATACGAAATCCGTTCCACGTTGCCAACATTGCCAGCCATTGGAAAAATGTGGAACGTAAACATTCATTTGAACATAAAATTAACAAAATAGGGAAATAAGAATTTCCTCGGTATATCTATGGTATGTTTTAATAATGAGAAGGTATATTTTGGTATATTTCTGGGGGTCACGCGGTATATTCTATTGATAAATCTCACACTGTTTAGCATCCCTAGCTTGAAATTGCCAAATAAAATCTGCATTTATATAGTGAGTTATTGTGAGTAAAAGAGTTCAAAAATGGCAGCGGGCCCCATTGCGGAACGTAATCAAGGTGCGTAAATAAAATCAACCTAGCCCAACTGCCTCTCACACAGATTTTCACTCATATCCGCAGATGCCACAATTTACGCCGGCGGTCTCGACGACAAGGTGTCCGAGACCCTGTTGTGGGAGCTGTTTGTCCAAGCCGGACCCGTGGGTAAGCATTGAGCATGGTTGTGATTGAATCCGCTCATCCTGCAACGCTATTCCTATTGCTTCCAGTAAACGTACACATGCCCAAAGATCGCGTCACACAAATGCATCAGGGTTATGGATTCGTGGAGTTCCTCAGTGAAGAAGATGCCGACTATGCAATCAAGATTATGAACATGATTAAGCTATATGGCAAGCCGATTAGAGTGAACAAGGCGTCGGCTCATCAGAAGAACCTCGATGTCGGCGCCAACATCTTCATTGGCAATCTGGATGTGGAGGTGGACGAGAAGCTGCTCTACGACACATTCTCCGCCTTTGGCGTGATCCTGCAAACTCCTAAGATCATGCGCGACCCGGAGACGGGAAAGTCCAAGAGTTTCGCGTTCATCAACTTTGCCAGCTTCGAGGCCAGTGACGCCGCCATGGACGCCATGAACGGACAATATCTCTGCAATCGCCCCATTTCCGTTTCTTATGCATTCAAGAAGGACCACAAGGGCGAACGCCATGGCTCGGCGGCCGAGCGTCTGCTTGCTGCCCAGAATCCCTCTGCCCATGCCGATCGTCCTCATCAGCTGTTCGCCGATGCACCCGTGCAGAACATGATGACCGGACAGATGATGCCGGGCCAAATGATGCCGCCTCCGATGATGGCGCCTCCACCGCCCGTGGTGCCCGTCTCGCAGAACAACATGGGCATGATAGCACCGCCGCCTCCAGTGCCGCAACCCACACCGTTCCCAGCCACAATACCGCCTCCACCACTGCCACCGATGGCGGGCGGACAACCACCACTACCTCCGGCAATGGGCATTCCGCCACCTCCGCGCATGATGCAACAAAACTCGTGGGCACCGCCGGGCATGCCAGCGCCGCCACCGCGCCCACCGCCAACGAATTGGAGGCCTCCACCCGGTGCATTTGCTCCAGGCCAATTCGCCCGGCCCTACCAGCCCGATGGCTATCAGTACTAGCCCCCTAAGTTCTGTGTAGCCTTGAGCCCCTGTAGTTATAAAATATTTGATGAATCAGACGAAATACATTTTGTAGGCTTTTACACACAAACGGAATACAAGCGTGACAACGATTTGAAAATGGAAGGAGCTCATGGCTTTTATTGGGAAAGGGCATTTTCTTGGATTAATGTGAAAACGTGCTAAAAGGAGTTCAAATCCGTAGATCGGACTGAGATGGTACTACTTGCACTCCTGCGAAAGCACCGTTACACGCGCCATCTGCATTAAACTTTACGTTACGTTACGCTGCGCATGCTTACGTAGATTGAAGCGACACTGCTAATCCACAAGCCAGAGTGAGATGCCAAAACAATGCGTGAATGCTCCCCCGCGCAGCAACAGCAGAACCACTCTTTCACCATTGTGCTATCTCTTTCTTTCGTTTTGGAAAAACACGTGTCGTGACGGATTCGTGTAATTAATTTTTGCATAAGTTTTATTTAATATATTGGAAACGTACAAGTACGACAAGTATTTACAATAGTTTTTTGTTTCATATTTTTTTCTGCTTTTGCCAAAAGAGTTTTCGGTTAGTGTCGCGACCGTGAAAGTGTGTGGGTGGTGTTTTTTTTTGGTTATTGGTGCTACCTCTCTCCATTTCTTCCATATCATTCAGTTTATTTAGTTTGATTTTATTTTTAAAATAATCCTAACTTCAATTTAATTTATTTTTATTTATATATTATTATGTTTTCTATTTTTAAATCTCGATTTCTTGTTTTTTGTTTGTTTTTCTTTTCTTTTGGTTTAACAAAATAAGCAGAAAAACATTGATTAGGAAATATGTATAATAATAATGGTGGTTGGTCCTTCGGTCCAAAAAAGTTTTCTGATTTGATTTTTTAATGTCGAAAATTGATTTCTAAGAACTGAACAGAACAGATCATAAAAAGTTCGAAAATATGGAATGGAAAACTGCAATAAATATATACAAACACTCCCTACATATTACTGGATTATTTCTTAATGAACACGTAAGTCTTGATCGAAATTACTGAAACGAAAGACTATTTCAAAATAGGAACAGAAAAAGGAATTCCATCACTTTAAACTTAATTAATAATTGTAAAGTAAAGCTGTGCTGTTCTCTTTGGAATCAATTTTCGTATCAATATCAAATTTCTGGGACCCCATCATCATTATTTTTGATCATTCTGTTATTTTTTCTCGCATTTATTTTGAAATTTGTTTTTTTTCTTAAAAAAAATTGTAATATATAAAAATAATAATTAACATAAAAACGTTCTGAACTGGTTTGGTGTTTTTTTGTATGCGTTGTGTGTGTATGTGTTGTGTTTTTCTTTTATTTATATTTTCTGGTTTTTTTTTGTTATTTGTTGCTGTTGCTTCGTACCTCCTCCTCCACTGGGGGATTTCTTAGGGTTCCTTGGGGGAGCTCTCTCTTCTCTCCACCCTTTATTTACTTATCGTTTTCTGTTCCGTGTCCGCCGTGTGATTGCTGACACTATGGGACTTTCGCTGGCTGACTCCACCACTGTTCGTTGATGACTTGCTCTTCGAACGAGACGATCCCCCATTGGCCTGGCGCACATTCTCGGAGCTATCTGTGAGATCCTCACTATCACTGGATCGTATATCACCGGACATCTGTAACATCCGAAAGAGAATTGAAGACATTGTAGTAATCTTCGTATTGCTTGATTTCGTTGCAACTTACCAGACCCTTCTGCAGAGAGTCGACAACTATCTTGAGAATCATATATGTCCAGATGACGTGCAGGACCAGCAGCATCAACAACAATGAATTGAAGATATAGTATGCTGGGAACATGGGCAGGATTTGTGGTGCTTCCACCGAAGAGCTACCATAAAGGAGAGGATAATGACAAGCGATTAGAAGGATGCCCATGAAGAGTTTATTCTCTCATCTTTACCTGTAGATAATGCGCGGAAAGAAGCCTAACCGCGTCACAATCCATACCACTGTGAAAATGGCAAAGATGGCATCGCATAGCTTTTGATAATTGGCATATTTTGTTAATTTTGCCGCCTCCAGAAAGATGTCGGCACAATCGTGGACGACCAGCACAAGGGAGCCAACGCGATGCAGATTGCACACCCAGGACAGGGACATCAGCAGCAGCGTAACCATATGATGGATAAACATCTGCCAAAAGTCCTTTCGCTTCACATCAAAGAACTGTGTTCCAGTCAGCGACCAATAGAAGGACATCGATATCATATAGTACCACCAGATGTCATTGCTAATCGACTAGAATGGATCAGGAGCATTAATAATACATTCTCAGAGAGATTTTTGCAATTGCAGAACCCACCTGATGGGGATAGCCGTACCAACAGCTCTTCACATTCCAGAACCAGGGCTTGTCCCACAGCACAATCACGCCAAATATAAAGGAATACAAATAGTAGATGCATCGCCAGGTATTCTCACAGAATTTCACCAATGTCGATGGTTTATCCTGAGCGCGACGCAGTCTCCACCACCTCTCGATCTGTCGCTCGCTCATGTCCGTCTGCTTGGACAATGGACCCAGCTTAAATGGAGAAGAGAAGAAACGGAATTGTAATTTCTTTTATAATTCGCATCATTATATTTAATATCTTACCCATTTGTTATCCAATCTTGTGGACTTTGCATAGGCATTCTCCAGTATAGGAACATTTGCTGCTTTCTTAGGCCTAGAACTTCGAATACCCATGGACTTGCCAACCGGCGATATCCAAAACCTGTAATAGAAATTTTTAATGAGAACCATTTTTATTTATCATTAAAAAAATTAAATATATATTAAAAATACTTAAAAAATAAAGACTGTAAGCCATTCCTAATCCCATCAATATTATCCGCATTCAATATTCGATCCTAATTAAAAAAATCCTTTGAAAGATCCCTGCTGTTTAGTTAAAAGCAGATTTCGCTATATTTTTTTTTAACCTTGAAATATTGAACGTTTTTAAAATTTGCACCCCCTACCAATGCGGAACCATTTTTGTTTATTTTTGTTGTTTTCCGATTCATTGGAATTCTGGAAAGACTCGAAATAAGTATGGCCGGTCCGTCGTCTTCACCTGTCGTCTGGCACGTGTAAAGCATTGGAAAAAAGGCACAACAGTGCAATGGGTTGGGATGGGGATGTACGACATGCATAAATAATTAGACGACAGAGCCCCCAGGGGCACCCTTCATTCTCCATCTAGAAATACTTATTTCGGGGTTTTTCGGAAGTTAATTTGCTAATGAAAACGAAACGTCCCGGCTCCAGCTCCTTTGGCACATCACTAGGTTCCCCCCTCTCTAGTGATGGCGATTGCGATTGGCATTTTAAACAGTAGTTTTCGATTCGTTTTCCATTTGTATGCAAAGCACAAGCCCCAGCCGAAAAGAGCAGCAGCAGCAGCAGGCAACAGTCAGAGTAGATGATGGGGACGAGGAGGAGCAGAAGGAATTCAAAGTTACGTTTTATTTTCGCTATGTGCTATTCTCATTCTTTCATTCCTCTGTTTATTGTCTTTGTTTTTACGAGTGTTCCAGCCGATCACTAGGGCCAGAGCCATATAAATTATAACAATTAATTTGAATTTATGCGATGCTGAAACGCACACAAAAGTCCGTCCACATCGAGAGAGTCGTTCGTCACTCACTTCATTCATTCAATAGACGACTTTTGAATGCTCTCTGTATTTGCATATATACATATGCACCAAAATTCTTGAGTACAAGTATGGAAAGAGAGATCAGTTGCATTGCTATGGGAACCAGTGAAAGAAAAAGCCCTTGAAAAACGAACAATTACTAATTCATAGAATCCAAACTGCGACAATGCTCAACAAAATTGGGTAAACTCTGCATGTAACACTCCCTGATAAAATCAATTCTAGATTTTATTCTGGTACGTTGATTAATAAATACAATTTGTGCACCACAAAATGTCACATAAATAAACGAGGGCCATGCCATGACCTTTGTAAAGCTTACGAGGAGCGAGAGTTCGTTACAATTAATGCAATAACAAGGATTTCTGGGTGGAGTGTCTGCTGCGTGTGGGAGCCCGCATATGGTGTCACTCACGATATTGATTAACTCTCTATCATTGACAAGCGTCTCCCTAATGCGGTGACAGGCCATGAATTGTTAATGGTCCCACTAGTTATAGGAAATAGCTTTGTAATTGGGAGAATCTGAGGGTATGTCAGTCTCCCGCTTTTGGCGGATGCCTGCCATGTGCGTGTTACTCGATTGGATATCAATTGAATTATTAAAATTTAAGCAACGGACATACCAGACAAACAACAATGCAAAAGGGCGAAGGGAAGGGGCTCACTCCCTGCCAAAAGGCAGCAATAGCAGCCAAAGCACTCTCTCAATTTGTTGTGCGTCAAGTGTCACATGTTCCCTGCTGCCACATGCCGCCGCCGCCATATATTCAAAATCAAAATTCAAGTTCAATTCTAAGTAAAATTGTATTAATAGCAAATATGTCCGTTTCGTGTGGAATTTATCATGAGCGCCAGAGCCGGCAATTGTGCGCTTTGCATGCCCTAAACAATCTGTTTCAGGGCAGGGATCCCTACACCAAATCGGAGCTGGACGAATACTGCTATAGCCTGACGCCCCGCTCCTGGCTGAATCCGCATCGATCGTGGTTCGGTTGGGGCAACTACGATGTGAATGTCATCATGTATGCCCTGCAGCAGCACCACTGTGAGACGGTGTGGTTCGACAAGCGTCGAGATCCCAAATGCCTCAATCTTGACCAGATTATGGGCTTCATTTTGAACGTGCGTAGCCCGCTGACCCAACTCTTGCCACCGCCCTTCAGAATGCGCCACTGGCTGGCCCTGCGCTGCATCAATGGCCGCTACTACAATCTCGACTCCAAGCTCCGGCAGCCCACGTGCCTCGGGAATGAGGCAAATTTTTTGAATTATCTACGCGAACAGCTGCGGCCGCACACCGATCAAGAGCTCTTCATTGTCATGACCAACGATCCGACGAAGCGAGACGAAGGCGATGATGCCACCACCAGCGCGGATTCGGAGCAGATGAGGGTCAACGCTAAGGATAATGACCAGCGCTGGCTAAAGCCACAATTCCGAAATGCCAAGGGAAATAATACCAATTAAAATTGACATTTTCTATCTCTGGAATTGGTTTTTTAATCTACTTGGGGGGTAATTTTCTGGCAGAACTTAAAGCGCATTCTAAAACAGTTTTATGTGGGATGAACCCAAAGATGTATAATCCGAAGTATTCCACATTTTTGCAAGACAACAAACCAGCAATTTTGATAAATCCCTATCCATTTAGCTAGCTATTTAGTTATCAAATCGGATAACCATTATAGCTCGAATAGAAAAGCCTCCTTTTGGACGACTGGCATTAAGTATACATAATAGGCGAGTATCTCCTGGCGTGCGGTTAATGATTGTGTTTTCGGTTTTTGCGCTTTTTGAAAATAATGATCGGTGGTTCAGTCGTTCGATTGGCACTTTGTGATAAGTAAAATTATTTGACTGTATTTTGGATTGTAATTTAATGTGCACTCCTTCCTCCCTCCACACCTAGGGGTCCAAAGTGGCAGAGATGTTTGTATTTTTGATCATCGAGTGCATTGACAGTGCGATTGGCGATCGTTGAATTTTATATTTTGTTATCAGTGGAGCCAACAACTAAATTTATATATACTTTTATACATATATATGATGAATAATGTCTGTGGAAGTACAGACTTGTGTGTGGTATGTGGACATGTCGTATTGTGTCGTATGTTGTGTTTTTTGGCGTATTATTCACTCGCGCTTGTCAACCGATAATACTACAAGCACGCAATCCCTGATTAGTGGGGGTCTAAATATATACATTTATATAGATATCTTGGGAGATTGGCAAATCGGTATACTAGGGCATGGCATGTTCAATGATGAATGAGTCACACATTCCACCCGTATTCCTTACTTTTGGAATTTAGCATAAGAAGTCGTAAGTCAGCGTTTAAGAGTGCAATTTTCGACTTTTTTGATCTTTATTAATCATTTGTTTGCTGCATTTATGGCTGGTTACTCCATTCCCACAAACTTTGGGCCTGCAAATGAAAGACAAGAGTTTCCATGGGCAATAGAAATTGTTTTCCGTGCGGTCTGGAATGCAAAGAATTACATATTGTATGCGTGGGTCAAGCTCGCTTATGCTTCTGCTTCCTCACGTTTTGGGTGTGGAGCAGTGGAAACGCTTTAATTCATTCCATCGTTATCGATTCTGAGTGCTTCTGCGCTTTCGATAAACTCGCACCGACAGCAACAGCAATAGCAACAGCAACATAGGTGATAATTGGGGGCCTTTAACAAATTGCACTTGGAATGGGGGCGCCTCCTCGTACCCTCCCCCCTAACAAGCTGTTTCTGTTTTCCTAATGGTTCTCTGTTTTCTCTACGACAGCCGCCAGTCGTCATGTATTTCAGGTGCGTAAAGCACGTGCTTTTCCTTCTTCCCTTTCATAGCTTTTCGTTCTTTTGAGTTCCAGTTCGCACTCGCATGCGACGACGAGTATTTCGTTGGGCAATCGCCGATAAGCCATAAAAAACTGACCGACTTTTGTGTGCCTGGTGTGCCTTTGAAAAGGCAAAGGTATGGAAAACCTCATGGAAACGAGTTATGGGTTATGGGGATTTAAGATTTGGCTGCTTAACACCTGGGCTGTTCTTCTTCTTATTTTCTTAGTTTTTTTTTTTGGTGAAAGCCATAATCTAGAGTTTCAAAATGATAAAGAGAAATCATTATTCCAGCAAAAAAAAGCTAAAAAATGTACACATGTACACATCATGGTTTGGTACTATTTCTCACATTTTGTCAGAGATTAGTGATTATTTTTCGTGGAGAGAGAAAAAGAGTGAGAGAGGGAGGGGGGGTCGGGGTTCTGACGTGTTTGATTCGTTGTGTGTGCATGTGAGCCATTAAAATAATTAACCTGAAATTTTATCGCACTATAAGAGCACATAGCACAGAGCACATAGCCCCGAGGGTCGACTCTCTAGTGATTACGTATCAAAAAACAAAAAAAAAAGACCTTAAACACAACACAGCGGAAGGGTAAAAACAGGGGCCAAATGTTCGACTGAACAAAAATCTCATAAGCAAACGGACACATACTTTACTTGCTGCATTACTGTTCCCAAAAACCAACGATCAAAATGTTTTCAAAAAAAAACTTTGGGTTTTAAGTGTCAAATAGAAATATTTAAATATTAATACAAGCAGTCGATACGATTTACAATTAATACGATTTGGTAGAGCTCTGTTCTGGACACAAATAATAATTCAGACTTCTCAAGAGTCGCACACGAAGGGCAGGGGGACATTACCCTCCGACTAGAGCGGGCGTATCGATTGACAGGTACTACTATTTCATTGTAGTTAAATTGTTATAAAATTGATATCCAATTTTTTGGCTATCATTTAAAAAGTGATTTATTTTTGCTTATCTTTTGAAATCCGAGAAGAATACACTGCTCATGTGTGTTCAGATGGTGTTTCATTTTGTTATTCTATTATTAATCGTTTTTTTTACTGCATGAATCAACAAAACGGCAAACCACTTGATCTATTTATTCACCACATGACGTTGACTTTGGTGAACAATTTTCCCATAAGGCAAACGAAGACAATAATAAAAATTCTTAAGAAGTAATGTAGTTTGCAAATACTCTTATACATATGAAAGGAAAATGTACAAGCCATTGATTAATATAGAGGAAACATATACATATAAGACAGAACAAACTTCTCAAACGTTTGGTGTGGATTTTCAGTGTGAAATATTATTGTTCAAATAATGAAGAAAATGGGAGTGGAATCGGCGTACCCACCACCGTACAGTGTACATTGCATTGGGGCGTGGAGTGGATCCAAAGGGAGTGACTTTAACCCTTAATATATGTAAGTACACAGCAGTAGTTACACGATACAATGTGTTCTGTGTGGTCGTCTTTTTCTAAAATATTTCAGGCATCAAATAATGTTTAAACATTCCAAAGTGTGAGCACCATTAAGGGAGGTCGGTCTCCCCCATAATATTTTGCTTTACATATTTGGGAAAAACTTCTAAGTTCCGCGACTCGGACATGACTCACTCTTTCAACACACACACACATAGTATGTACACAAAAAAAAACATAAAGCAACGATGATGAAACACCAAACACACACACACCCACCCAAATTCACTGGGGGAGGCGTCCCGTCCGTCCGGGCACAGTCATTCGCTAGTTCGTCGTAAAGCAATCTACAAACTAGGGCATTATCAACCTTTTTTGTTTTTGCTTTATACGTAAATCTTTGGACGCAATTCTTATCAGGTGGCGAATGCGCGAGTGCTACGATGGTGTGGTGCGACGTTACCGGTGCCGGTGCGCCCCAGGCTTCAAGGTGGTTGTCCGTTCCGTTTCGTTGATTAGAAGGCCGGACTGACTGCAGCCGTATCGAATCTTCCGTATCGACGCTCGACATTTGCCATTCAATAACAAAATGCCAAAAAAAAAACAAAATAACTAAAAAAATTCCAAATCCGATACGACCTTGAAGGCCAATATTCTCCAATTCTAGTTTTTGAGTAGAGATCGAACAGCACAGAAGAAGCGAATAAGAAACAAGAAAAAAGCAACGACAAGAAGTGGTCTGCCATGAAACAGATTTTGTGTTCGTTTCGTTAGTTTTTTTATGTTTCGACAAACGCCAAGCGACAAACACAAAAAAAACAGGAAAGGACAACTTTCTGGCAGCGCGTGCTAGTTAAAAACAACAAAATTCATGAATATTACTATTATTTTACATGCAAATTTAAAATGCAACTGCTGCACGCAATCTGCAACTGCAACAAACACAGAAACAACGATAGAACACAAACACGTACAGACGTACACTCGTACACTAATTGTTGGCGCGTTTACCCGTCGTAGTCGTACCATCTAAATGTCAGAGTCAGAGCCAGAGCCAGGCACACGGGTTAATTGGCCGGAAAAGTGGGATCTCTTGGCCCCCGTACTGTGGGACCATTTCCATTTCATCAGATCAGAAAGATAGTCAAACATTTTAATTAGTAGATTTCTAAGGTTCTACAAATTCGAAGCATCCCCAATTTATGGTAGAATTTAAGAGATCAGATATTATTTTTTGACTATTTGAACCATTTTACACCCCCAAGGAGAAGAGTTATGACTTCTTAATAGGGTTAAATCCCTTCACAAACTACGAACATGGTTTTTTACATGGCTCATAAATCTTTGGGCCCCTACTTATCGGCCTGAACACTTGGCCTCAGTCTGAGAGGGCAAACCTAATAAATTTAATGCTTGAACTTTGATTTGGCAAGCATTCGGTGAATATACCACGAATACATACATACCACCACACATACATAATTAAATTGCAATTTCTTGTTTATTTCTGATATTTGTATCTCTTTATCATAAAGAAAGCCATTTGCACCTATTGGCTGCATTCATCCCACTGTTCACGCAAACCCACTCACACAGCCACAATAAATTTATGCAAGTGTTGATTTTATAAACAAATATATTTGATGTTTGTTTTCTAGTAAACAATCTGTGAGGATCAAAAGAGGGGGCGGCATGCAACCCACAATACTGTGGGAAATTCTGTATTTTCATTGATGCGCCGCCAGTGCGGTGGCATTGCAATTGGAGCCGGCAGCAACGTTTGCGTTTGCAAAGGTAAAACATACGAATAGCAGAGGTGGCAGCAACAACACCAAAAACAACAACATGCGTGTACGGCATGCTTAACTCACACATCCATGGCAAAGAACGCATGCATACACATACATACATATGTACATAAAATGTTGGGCGTTTCCACGTGAGGTTATGTTTGGCCCAAAAAGCGGGAGAGAGGACACAGAAAGCGAACGAGAGAGAGTAAAGAGAAATATGAATAAAAATGGCATTTGCTTACTGTACATTGTGCAGCAACAGCAGCAGCATATATATGTGGGTGTGACTCTCAGTGACCACAAAGTGGCCCTCAATGGGAATTTACAGTAATATGGACCCGGGCACCGGGCACAGTGGGCATAAAATGGCAAATGAATGGAAACGGGATATACACTTACCGCTCCAGTGTATACCGCACAAGCATGACAACCGCTGCCAATGGAATGGGCCAGATAAGATCCTTATAATTGGCATGCACCACATCGGGCCGCGAGCCAGGCGCTATATCCGCCCATGTTACATTTGGCGGCAGCCAAATGTCCGTACTCCAGAATGCACTGCTAAACTTATTGATTATATCCATTCTCCCTATAGTTTTTCACTTCTTTTCCGTTTTTGCGGCTTCAATGGTGAATTCTTTTCTCCGTTTGCACTCGACTTCTGCTGCTGCTGATGATGATGTTGTTCACTCTGCGTTTGATGAATTTGTTGTTTGTCGTCATGAACGTTGTCAGATACATATATATATATATATATATATCCGCTATTCTCTGGATTGGTTGGTCATTTGGTGCAGAACAGATCAGGGAACTATGGTACAACAACAAGGCAGCACGCCGCGGAAACGAACCCGAGAGCTAGACGGTCACACACATTCACACTCTTCCTCAAACACTTTGGCAAAGAAAACAAGCCGCCGGAATGGGTTATTTTCTTTTGCGGTTTTCCTATGTGCCGTTTAACTGAAAAAAAACAGGAATCAGGCGCCGAACCAAATACGAATTTTCCGAGAGGAGCGAGCGACAGTGTGGCCGCGGGCTTATCGATAAGATATGCAGTCTGACCCTCAAACATGTACCTTGTAATTTTCAAAATATACCGTACATATACCGAGGAAAGTCATGTTTCTCAACTCTGTTATTCTATTTAACATTGCAAGTTAGTTAAGACTCTCAACACTCAACTTGTAGTTTTATGTGCTTTAATATGTCAGGCATACCATTATAGACCGCTGCAACTCATTTTTGCGTTTCCAGCATGAGTCCAAAAATACCCCAGACATATCATAAAATATATGTACCTTCTGATTTCTCCATTTAAAAGGTTAAACAGTACAATGCCACCAGCTTCCAGCTATCCATAGCATTGAACCTAATACTTTATACGGCAACTAAAAATTGTTCTGCAAAATTGGCCAAATCACTCAATATGCAATACTTTTAAAAAATTCAGATTATCGTTACAAAGGCTGCATTCATAGGCAGAAGGAACTAGTTCACCAAATGTGTACTGTACCGTTGGCAACATAAATTGTATGGGCCAGCAACATTGCGAGCAACATTTTGCTACCCTTGGGTGCAAAGATATCCTCGAATTGAGGAAGTTTTTTAAATCCAGGCTCCAAAATCATTTCAAAAACAAGTCATTTTGTGTTTGAGATTTATCTCTACCAAATTTTGTAGATTAAAGATACCGATAATGTATTTAGATCGATATAAAAAAAGAAAGCATATGAAACGCTTAAAAACATGTCAGTCTAAGATATAGACATTTTTAATGCTTAAGAGCATGTTGGAAAACAGAGTTGTAATTTTGATAAATGAAATTAGGGTACACAAATTAGCATATCATATCATACCACCGTTTGACAAGCAACAAGTTGTTAAATTACGCAATATTCCATTCCCACTTTAGTTTTTATTTTGATTCATATTTTTTAAACAATCCGATAAAAGAAGGTCATGATAAGTAGCCAATCTGGTTGAAAATTTTGTCATAAATCGGTGCTGAGTTGTAGTTTTAGTGCTGAGAGTGCAAACTAGCAAATAATATTATATATAACATTGAAATCGAGGAAACTGATTAAAGATTTACGGTATATTTCATGTGCCGGTTACACAGGTATATGTCGGTATGGCTTTGAGGGTCGTGATGGTATTTAATCGATAAACGTTCACACTGCACTTCTGCGTCTAGTAGTTTTTTTTTTTATGTGACAATTGTGACACTGAAAATAAGTTTTTGCTTTACTTAGTCATATTCGTTTTTAAGCAACTAGAAAACTAGTTTAATTTTTAAATTTGTTCAGAATGTCGGAATTTTTGGACTCTGAGGCCGAGGAATCAGAGGTAAGCAATGCATTCCGGCTAATTCGGCACATCATTTGTGACGTTTTGCACGCCTCGCGTTTTGTGTTGTAGCCGCCGCGCTTAAATGTATATAGGCTCATTTATATACATTTCAACTATATAAATGCATGCATGCGAGTGGGCACATATTAATAAATTGCTTTTCCATGTTTATTTTTACAGGAAGAAGAGGAACTGGATATAACTGAAAGGAAGAAGCTAAAAAAGCTGAAAGCCGTTGTATCTGACAGCAGTGAAGAGGAGGAAGGTGCGTCTCTCTATCCCTCTCTATCTCACTAGATACCCCAACACACACACACAGCCGCAAACCACCCGCCATATCTATCGAGTGGGGCCACCGTAAAAACAAAAACAAATTGTGATGCATGTAATGCAGCCGCACACACCCCCTCCATGCATCTTTGCATTTGCAGGAGAAGACAGCATTCAGCTTCCTAGTATAATATCCAATGGAATCATTCATCCACCTTCACTGAAAACAGTTTTATGTTTTCGGTGTTACTTTTCGTTGATTTGCATTTGTTTACAACATTGAGGTTAGGTTGTGTATGGCTTAATGACACTTTGCAGTGAGAGAGGGGAAATCTTTGGACGACTGTAACTTGAAGATGTTACCAACTCTACTGGCTTTACTTATACGTTTCTGCATATTCTAGTATTTATTGGGGCCTCCCCAAATCACAAGGAAGCCTCATATTGTTAGGAATAAACCCAGAGCTATATCCAGATGTTGTGTTGAGCTATTTTCAATCGTTTTATTCTGGTTTTATTTGATTAGATGACGAAGAACGGCTGCGAGAGGAGCTTAAAGATTTAATCGATGACAGACCCATTGAGGAGGAGGATGGCAGCGGCGATTCAGACACTGCCAGCGGCGGCGATGATGACGAAGGCGGTGGCAGTGGCAAGAAGCGAAAGAAACATCAGGATGATGATCTCGATGATCGCCTAGAGGATGATGATTACGATCTGATTGAAGAGAATCTAGGGGTCAAGGTTGAGAGACGTGTAAGTAGCCAATATTCTATATCTGAATAAGATCTATTTTAATATATAAATTCCATATTCCATATATAGAAACGCTTCAAGCGTCTGAGACGCATTCATGACAACGAAAGCGATGGCGAGGAGCAGCATGTGGACGAGGGTTTGGCCCGCGAACAGATTGCCGAACAGTTGTTTGATGAAAACGATGAGGTACGACACACAACCAATCCTCCACTCCACTGAGATCTTCTAAGCAAATACATCTATTCATTTTCTTGTAGAGCGTTGAGCATCGCAGCGAGCGCAGTCCTCGGCATGGCGAGGCAGATGCCTTTGATGAAGAGGAAACCGAGTCAGATGCCGATGATTTTATTGTGGATGACAATGGCCGTCCGATTGCCGAGAAAAAGAAGAAGAGGCGTCCCATATTTACAGATGCGTAAGTAATACACTTCCAAGAGAGGGTCTCTCCAAAAGGATTTTGATGGTAATTCTGTATTCTGTTTGTCCCACAACCAGATCACTGCAAGAGGGTCAGGATATTTTTGGTGTGGACTTTGATTATGATGATTTCTCCAAATACGAGGAGGATGAGTACGAGGATGACTCCGAGGGTGATGAGTACGACGAGGAAATGGCCGGCGGCGATGATCATCGTGTGAAAAAGAAGAAGGCCCTCAAAAAGAAGGTCGCCAAGAAGACGATCTTCGACATTTACGAACCGAGCGAACTGAAGCGCGGCCACTTCACAGATCTCGACAATAAGATACGCAAAACAGACATACCCGAGCGCATGCAGCTGCGACAGGTGCCCGTAACGTCCGTACTCGAGGGTTCGATGGAGCTGGACGACGAGGCCGAATGGATCTATCAGTATGCGTTCTGCAAGAATACCGTCTCCGAGCAGGAGAAGGCCGACAATCGTGAGAAGATGCGCAAGCCACCCTCTACCATAAAGAAGATCAAGCAGACCCTTGAGTTTATACGTAACCAACAGCTGGAGGTGCCATTCATTGCCTTCTATCGGAAGGAGTACGTGAAGCCCGAACTGAATATCGATGATCTGTGGAAAGTCTACTACTTTGATGAGCGCTGGTGCCAGCTGAATGAGCGCAAACGGAAGCTGAAAGTGCTCTTCGAGAAGATGCGACAGTTCCAGATGGACACGCTCTGTGCGGACACGGATAAGCCCCTGCCCGACGATGTACGGCTCATGCTGGACAGCGACTTTGAGCGGCTCAACGATGTCCAGTCCATGGAGGAGCTGAAGGACGTGCACATGTACTTTTTGCTCAACTATTCACACGAACTGCCCAAAATGCAGGCCGAACAGCGGCGTAAACTGCTGCAGGAGCGGCGTGAGAACCGCGCCAGGCGAAAGGCAGCCGCAGCTGAGAATGGCGATGATGTGGATGCTGTGCCCGTCGAAGTGGACGACGACGATGATCCGGAACTGATGCTGCAGGACGAACAGCTAAAGCAGGCGCCCAACAGCAGTCCCTATGCGGTGTTCCGCAAGGCTGGAATCTGTGGCTTTGCCAAACACTTTGGCCTCACGCCCGAACAGTTTGCGGAGAATCTGCGCGACAATTATCAGCGCAACGAGGTCACACAGGAGAGCTTGGGACCTCTGGAGCTGGCCAAGCAGTATCTTTCGCCGCGCTTCATGACCACCGATGAGGTGATGCATGCGGCCAAGTATGTGGTCGCCCGACAGCTAGCCCAAGAGCCACTGCTTCGCAAGACCATGCGCGAGGTGTACTTTGATCGAGCGCGTATCAACATCAGGCCCACAAAGCACGGCATGTCCCAGATTGATGAAAACTCTCCGGTGTATTCGATGAAATATGTGGCCAAGAAGCCGGTGGGCGATCTCTTTGGCGATCAGTTCATCAAGCTGATGATGGCCGAGGAGGAGAAGCTGTTGGAGATCACCTTCCTCGAGGAGTTTGAGGGAAATGCCAATGCCAATGGCCCACCCGGTGACTATGTGGAGGAGGCGAAGGCGCTCTACCATCTCGATCAGTTCTCCAAGCATGTCCTCGAATGGAATGCCCTGCGAGCAGAGTGCGTACAGTTGGCCCTACAAAAATGGGTGATCCCGGACCTCATCAAAGAGCTGAGAGCCACCCTGCACGAGGAGGCGCAACAGTTTGTGCTGCGCTCTTGCACCGCCAAGCTGTACAAATGGCTCAAGGTGGCCCCCTACAAGCCAGAGCTGCCGCAGGACTACAAATACGATGACTGGAGCACATTGAGGGGCATCCGAGTGCTCGGATTGGCCTACGATCCGCATCATGCGGTGGCCGCCTTCTGTGCGGTGACCACCGTCGAGGGGGATATCTCCGATTATCTGCGTCTACCGAACATCCTCAAGCGCAAGAACTCGCACAATGCCGAGGAGAAGGCCCTGAAGCTCGCGGATCTCCGCAAGCTGTCGGATTTCATCAAATTAAAGAAGCCCCACGTTGTGGTGATTGGTGCGGAGTCGAGGGAAGCCCAAATGATCCAGGCGGACATCAAGGAAATACTCAAAGACCTGGAGACAACCGAGCAGTTTCCGCCCATCGAGGTGGAGCTCATCGACAACGAACTGGCCAAAATCTATGCAAACTCGAAGAAGGGTGAGTCAGACTTTAAGGAGTATCCGCCACAGCTGAAGCAGGCCGTTT